ACAGTAAATTTTAGTTTATGTTCTTTATAAGAGAGTTCTATTTGTAGTTATTATAATACTAACATGACAAGAAAACTTCAAGAATATCATCTTCAAGTTTTACAAAGCAGAGAAAATGCAAAAATCCCTCACAGACTCAAAGCAGAAGCTATTTATACTTTCCTTCTCAAGGTACTGGTGGGAGACTCACTGTGTTTCCCCACTTCTCCAATCTGCAAATACCAGAACTTAGGAGAACTACAGTAAAACATTAGGAAGATGAACAAGTGGCAAAATGAAACTAAACAGGAGTGTACAGCTATGAAATTTCAACATTTATCTGGCGCCATATTAAAAGGCATTCTGGAACTGTGATCTTTTGCAGAGAGTAAGGGTAGAGAAACTAGAAACAGTAGCACAGAAATAGAATTACTCCCCAAGATTGTACAGACTATTTAAATGAGGTCCTAGGGCCTCCCTGGTGGCGCAGTGGTTGGGAGTCCGCCTGCCGGTGCAGGGGATGCGGGTTCGTGCCCCGGTCTGGGAGGACCCCACGTGCCGCGTAGCGGCTAGGCCCGTGAGCCGCGTAGCGGCTGGGCCCGTGAGCCGTGGCCGCTGAGCTTGCGTGTCCGGCAACGGGAGGGGCCACGACAGTGGGAGGCCCCCATATCGCAAAAAAAAAAAAAAAAAAAAAAATGAGGTCCTAAAATATATCTTAAGGCTTACAGATGCATATATAGGTAAAATCCTAGGTAGAATCATTATCCTTGATGAAAGCCTTAAAAAACAAACAAACAAAAACAAAACAGTAAGTGTTTCTGGCATTTCGATGTGTCTTAAAGCAGACTCTAAAATTAGTTCCATCATTTAAGTACACCCAACTATAGGTTCTATAAGTCAATATATTACTAAAAAATCAAAAGAAAAAAAGTTTCTATTAACTGTGTTTTTCTCATCTGTATATTCTGTTTATAAAAAAATCTGTCATTTTTCAGAGTACTGACATGATCACTCAAGGAAAAAACTTATAAATAAACATACGAAGACAACACCCTATAACTCTTAAAAGGCCAGAATCATTCTAGGCAAAGAAAACAATGCTACTATTAACAACAACAACAAAAAAAATCAATTTAAAAACCAAGAGCCGAAAACACTATCATTTACCACTGCAACAAAAAGAATAAAATATCTAGGATTAAACCTACCTAAGGAGACAAAAGACCTGTATGCAGAAAATTATAAGACACTGATGAAAGAAATTAAAGATGATACAAACAGATAGATATACCATGCTCTTGGATTGGAAGAATCAACATTGTGAAAATGACTTTACTACCCAAAGCAATCTACAGATTCAATGCAATCCCTATACAATTTCACAAGTTGTATGGAAACACAAAAGATCCCGAATAGGGCTTCCCTGGTGGCACAGTGGTTGAGAGTCCACCTGCCGATGCAGGGTACACGGGTTCGTGCCCTGGTCCGGGAATATCCCACATGCCGTGGAGCGGCTGGGCCCGTGAGCCACGGCCGCTGAGCCTGCGTGTCCGGAGCCCATGCTCTGCAACGGGAGAGGCCACAACAGTGAGAGGCCCGCGTAACGCAAAAACGGAGTTGGAGGAATCAGGCTCCCTGACTTCAGACTATACTACAAAGCTACAGTCATCAAGACAGTATGGTACTGGCACAAAAACAGAAATATAGATCAATGGAACAGGATAGAAAGCCAAGAGATAAACCCACGCACATATGATCACCTTATCTTTGATAAAGGAGGCAAGAATATACAGTGGAGAAAAGACAGCCTCTTCAATAAGTGGTGCTGGGAAAACCAGACAGCTACATGTAAAAGAATGAAATTAGAACACTCCCTAACACCATACACAAAAATAAACTCAAAATGGATTAAAGACCTAAATATAAGGTCAGACCCTATCAAACTCTTAGAGGAAAACATAGGCAGAACACTCTATGACATAAATCACAGCAAGATCCTTTTTGACCCACCTCCTAGAGAAATGGAAATAAAAACAAACATAAACAAATGGGACCTAATGAAACTTAAAACCTTTTGCACAGCAAAGGAAACCATAAACAAGGTGAAAAGACAACCCTCAGAATGGGAGAAAATATTTGCAAATGAAGCAACTGACAAAGGATTAATCTCCAAAATTTACAAGCAGCTCATGCATCTCAACATTAAAAAAACAAACAACCCAATCCAAAAATGGACAGAACACCTAAATAGACATTTCTCCAAAAAAGATATACAGATTGCCAACAAACACATGAAAGAATGCTCAACATCATTAATCATTAGAGAAATGCAAATCAAAACTACAATGAGATATCATCTCACACCAGTGAGAACGGTCACCATCAAAAAATCTACAAACAATATATGCTGGAGAGGGTGTGGAGAAAAGGGAACCCTCTTGCACTGTTGGTGGGAATGTAAATTGATACAGCCACTATGGAGAACAGTATAGACATTCCTTAAAAAACTAAAAATAGAACTACCATATGACCCAGCAATCCCACTTCTGGGCATATACCCTGAGAAAAGCATAATTCAAAAAGAGTCATGTACCACAATGTGCACTGCAGCTCTATTTACAATAGCCAGGACATGGAAGCAACCTAAGTGTCCATCAATAGATGAATGGATAAAGAAGATGTGGCACATGTATATAATGGAACATTACTCAGCCATAAAAAGAAACAAAATTGAGTTATTTGTAGTGAAGTGGATGGACCTAGAGTCTGTCATACAGAGTGAAGTCAGAAAGAGAAAAACAAATACTGTATGCTAACACATATATATGGAATCTAAAAAACAAATAAAAAATGGTCATGAAGAACCTAGGGGCAAGACGGGAATAAAGACGCAGACCTACTAGAGAATGGACTTGAGGATACGGGGAGGGGGAAGGGTAAACTGGGACGAAGTGAGAGAGTGGCATGGACATATATACACTACCAAATGTAAAACAGATAACTAGTGGGAAGCAGCTGCATAGCACAGGGAGATCAGCTTGATGCTCTGTGACCACCTACAGGGGTGGGTTAGGGAGGGTGGGAGGGAGGGAGACGCAAGAAGGAAGAGATATGGGGATATGTATATATGTATAACTGATTCACTTTGTTATAACGCAGAAACTAACACACCATTGTAAAGCAATTATACTCCAATAAAGATGTTAAAAAATAAATAAATAAAATAATTAAAAAAAAAAAACCAAGAGCCAAGAAAACTACTCATTTTCTTGAGGTTGGAAAACAGTGTAAATATTTCATCAACTTCATCAGGTGACATCAGGCCTAACTATAAAAAGCAAACAAAAGAAGCTTTTATTTTTGATTAATGTCTATAATGGAGAAAGCACAGCCAAATTAAATGATTTTTTTCAAAAAAGCAAAATGTAGTAAAAACTGCTTAGAAATACTACTTAACAATTCCCACTGGGGTCTAAGCCAGCACCCAGAAATCAAACACTTTCATATTTCTGTAGCAAAATGTATGAATACTTGAAAATAGTCCTCGTTTTAATTTAGATCTAGATCTGCCATCAAGTAAGTTAATATTAGGTCAGGTTTTGTTGCCAATTTCTGTTTTTAGAACTCTGCAGATTTTGGATAAAAGACTGTGGACCTAAACTGAAAAAGCAGAAATAAATCAGGCACAAGTTCTATTTTTTTTTTTTTTTTTTTTACTGGCCGCACCACACGGAGTACAAAATCTTAGTTCCCCAGCCAGGGATAGAACCTGTATCCCCTGCAGTGGAAGTGCAGCATCCTAACCACTGGACTGCCAGGGAAGTCTCAGGCACAAGTTCTTAACTAACTTTATTCTTAGCTTAGAAAACAGTAGGTTACATAAATATTGTCTGCTAGCCCTTGAAGTTTACAAACTTCAAGATAGCAGTAGAAATATTTTAATCGTTTCTACAAGTTACTTATACTATACTACAGAAGCTAAATTCATACATCCAATGAAAATCAGAAAGATTTTATTAACTTTATGATATGAAATAAAATATATAAAATGCATTCATATTCAAAAGGATAAATTTCTTCCCTTGTAGTACTTTCTAGTTAAAAAAACTATTTCTTTAAATTAATAAAATCTTGAAATTGCACTGTAATTGAGCATGGCAAGGGTTCCCACTAGCTTAAAAGGACAGGTGAAAGTGATGCTGGGGTAATGAAAAGTCAGCAGTTGGACAAAGAAATTCTCCATTTCTCTCTTCTTTCTGTTGTCATACAGTTTGGAAAAAAAGGAATCTACGTAAGAGGAATCAGAATGCTTATTATAAGAAAAGTTATATGTTCTCTTGAAAATAGTAAATTATAGTGGTGAAGAACACAGGGCCTGGAGTTAGTCAATAAGTAGATAATCAAATTCCAGCTCCACTTTTTACTAGCTTTGTGACCTTAGGAAGTTAGTAAGTGCTCTTATGCCTCAGTTTCATCTATAAATGTGGAAAATAACAGAATGTACCACATAAAGTTGTTAATGAAAATTAAACGCTAAACAAAAATAAGTAAAAAATAAAGTGACAGGAACAACAACAGGAAGAATAAACAGGTGATATTAGTAAATATTGGCAAAGTTAATGCAATATTACCAATCAAAATTTTCTGTGGTTTTAATCACTTTTTAAACCCAGACTGGCTTAGAAATTTTTTTAAATACAATAAATGTTTACCTTGCATTTTATTAACTGAAATACCATGAACTGAAATAATTAGTAGCTCTATCTTTTTATAATAATGAATAACCATTACCTGAACTTATAATTTCTGTAAACTCCTGAAATCCCTCAAAGAGAGTTTCCGTGAAAAACTAACCAGTAGTTTACATGTATGGTTACCACTCAGTAAATAAGAATATTTGATAAGTCAAAATATCTAATTCACTGACCATGTCAGACAGCCCATCCACCAAATATCATGGTACCAGAAATAAACCACTTTGCTCACTAAACCATCTCACAAAGCACAGCACGAAACCTTACCTATCTTCATCTTTGTCATACAGTTGGTAATAATCTCCACAGCCATTCCAAAACGTGTTATCCACAACTTCTTGCCTTCCTGTGGCTCCATTTTCTGGTGTTATTTGGTTATCTTCTGTTTCCCTCTGTGTAACTCTTGCGAAAGGCAGATCCAAGAACATACAATCATGTTCTCCATCATAGTCATCACATTTTATTAAGAGGTCATCTGACCCATTTTCCTCAACTTCCAAAGCCTCTCTCCACCTCTGAACACTTCTTTGTTTAGCCTCATGCCTATTAAAACCCGTTTCTTGGTCCACCTGGCTTGAACTTATCAGTTTCCTAACTTTGGGCCTCACTACCTGTTCAGGAGAACTTCCCTGGTTTTTGCCCCTGTCACTGGTATTTTGCTCACTGCAAATATGCCTGGGAGCACAGGCTGAATCTTCAACTGAATTTTCTCTTTGTCTCTCCTGGCTAGTATTATTTTGTTGTTTCTTTCTAACCACTTCATCTTCAGAAGAGGACCTCTGAAATTCCTGATTGTTCTGATTGACAAATTCAGGATCACCAGTTGAACTTTTCACTAAAGGTGCTGAATCTACCTCTTCAAACTCATCTCTTAATTCACAGTTAAAAGAGGGAACTGTTGGTGAAAGACCATTATATGCCTCTACCTCTCCATTTTCCAACTCAAACACTGTATTGCCCAATGCTTCCTGATATCTACCACCTTCCACAACGTCTGCAGAGAGCTGATGACGGTCATTATCCTCTCCATGTCTGCCATCTGGATCATAAGAGTCAGTATGAACCAATGTAATTCCATTTTGGACACTTGAAGCATTACAAACTCCTGAAGTATATTCTCCCTCAGAATGATTGTGAAGATCCGTACTGCTTCCTAAAGTCTCCCTGCCTTCCTCGCTATGATGTACTGCAGCAAAGGATGGACTGCTCTCAATGGTTTGATTCAATGCTGTATCACAAATGGGAATTTCTGCTTCAGTTTTTTCAAATAAAGGGTCATTGGGTAAAGAAGAATGAACTTGATCCAATGGACTGGAACCTTCATAGGGAACAAAAGAAAACATATTTAGAGGGATTAATTTAGGTAATGTTTTATTTAATAATGACTCTTTAACTAGAAATCATACCAATTATTACTTATTTGAGAATATGAGTGAATTTCTCTGACAGGTGCTTCTAGGCTCCCTAACTTAACTGGGAGGGCGGACTGGTTACCCTATGAGTTCATTTATGCCACTGTGTAGCCTCTTAATATCCTCTCCCTCAGATGTCTTCTGTAGGTTTTTCACCTAAATCCTAATACCTAAAACATTCTGTAAAAGACATTTGAAAGAGAGGCTAATGAGAGATTAACAATGAGAGGCATAAGTGAAGTCACAGGGTAACCAATCTGCCAGTTGTTGGACTGTGCAATTCAGACTTAAATTACTTTGTTACATGTAGATTTTTTTTTTACATGTAGATATTTTAAAAGGTGGTTATAATAGATATAAGAACAGGCTATATACAGATCTAACAGAAATGAGACTCTACTGTGTTTTATGTCAATTCAGAAGATTATATCTCAGTCCCTAGATACATAATATTACATTTCTATCCCCAAAATGAATTGTTAAAATATATCTACAATGAGTTAACTTTAACTATGTTACAGCTATCAGTGAAAAACAACAAAAGAGTCAATATGTTGATTCTCTTTGTCATAGTTTGTCAGAATTCTGAGACAAGAGTAAAATCTTATCTACTCCACAAATTACTTTAAACATGACTATCTTTTACCACCACTAATGTAGTAACAAAAAATGAAGATGCTAAGACCTGTTGGAACAAAAATTTATAAATAACTGAAGGGAAGTCTTGTCACATCACAAAAAGGCTGCTTTAACAGAAGGACCTTAGCTAATAATTCAGATTCTTGTATATAAATGATAGTAAAAAAAAATAATCCAGAATTATCAAGTTTGCTCAGGACAAGAGGAAGATGACATTCCAGTCCAAAAATGTGTAGTTATAGTACATGGATACCTGCAAAATACTTTTTCAAACTAATGAATAATTTGGAAATTTTAATTAAATAACTATGTAATACTTGACATTTATATTTTATATGATTCTAAAAGAATCAACTTAACCAAGCTAAATTACTGAGATACAAATAAGACAACAAAAAGCTATTTAAATGTAATATGCAGGGAAAAATATACTCAGTTCACATTAAAAATTTTTTTGGATTGAAAGATGAAGAATTCCTCTGGCTGAAGGATGTGACAACATGTAATCACTGCCATGACAATGTAGTTATAGTTTAATGATTGGCCATATTCTATCTTTTTCTATGTTTAAATGTATACACTATTAATAGAAAATTTTGAAATGAATTTCTTGATAGGAAATGTATAGCATTTATACTCAGAGACACACATAAAACCCACTCACTATTTCAAATATTACAAGATCAATTCTTACATGGTTATTAATAGCTTTTAAATAATCCCATGTTGCATACCTGAGGAATTTTCTTTTGGAACATCATCTAGTTCCAACACTTCATAGTCATCACCAGCCCTACCTAAGCTTCTTTCATGCCTGGTCATACACGGTTTGAAACTGACATATGCATGTCTTCTGCCATATCGCCTGCCTGTGATTGTCTGATATCCTCCTGCTGGTTTGGGCCAGGCCGCCTTGCTGGATTCTTGATCCATTGCTGAAAAACAAAGTTAAAAATAAAAGAGGTACAGCAATGACTTATTCTGACATTTGGGGTAATGTTTCAACATATATTGCCAAATCATAGGCTACTTAACATGCCCCTTACTAGTAATATGAAACATACCTGAAAAGAAAACATGAAATACTACATTATGAGAGTTATGTGACCCCCTTATCCCCCAAAATATCTTAAAGTTTGGTTCCTTTAAGGTATTTCAGATATTTACAATGTTATTTACCCCAAATTTTTTCCACTTGCCAAATTATTATACTGTAAGAGCTCCTTAAGGATTGGAGAATGATTCTCCAAGTTATCAAAGTACCTTATGTATAAGTGCTCAATACATATTTGTTGAGTGAATTATTCACACGTACATGATACAATGGTTTCAATTACATTAAAAGTGAATAAATTCCAGTCAAAGGTAACAAGTAATTTCTTTAAATGGTATCTGTACTATTATAAAGAACTAACGGGACCAAAATAAAATATATCCCAAAGATCAGGGTCAGGTAAAACTCTCCAAAAGAAAACAGTGGTGAGCCAAGTCAAACTTTTCAAAACTACCAATGGTATACATATGGTATGTATGAAAAGAAAAAGCCATCAACATTTGAACAACTCGAATACTAAGTTCTGATGCCTGAGGGATATATAGTAGCAACAGTAGAATCTTTTACTGAGTAGGACATTATCTCATATATACATATAGCAAAAGTTTGCTTAGTCAATTGAGTTTTACATATATTATGCAGGAACTAAACAAAATATTTTCTCACAGTATACGGACTAGTCAATAAATGAAAAGGTTATACATTTTTGTTTTATTGCATTAGAATAAGAAATATAATTGCTTTTAAGCACAAAAACAAACCTGCATTTATAACATTATATGATACCAAATGTTACATTGTTACTTCATCCCCTCACAAACCTGTTGAGGTGGATATTGTATTTTACTTTAAAGAATAAAAAACTAGGGTTAAAATGAATTATTTAAGAAACTTGCCCAATAACACAATATTATGACTCCAGACCAGTACCCTTAACAACACCTCCAAAAGAATAGTCTCCAAAGTGAAAAGCACAATAGATGCCAAGGGGGTATGGAAAGAAAATATGAGTTTCTATTTATACTCATTTTTGTATCAAAAATTAGAAATTAAGCTTTATAAATATTCAATACATGGACTGAAACTAGCCTTAAGTAAGACGATGATCACACATCACGTACAGTACTCAAGGAATCTGGAAGGAAAAATATGAAGTTCTCAATGTAGAGGAACTGACAGAGACACCTTGCTTACCTGCTGGCTCTTTTTCAGTATACTGTGACATATATGGCAGTTTTTGTGTGCCCAGTTCAGTGGAATTATGGATGTGATTTAGTTTTTACTCACACAATGGATAAGCTGCAGGAGATTCCTACAAAGAAACCATGGATTAAACAAAATATTAATAATACAGCACAAAACAAAAATAGCAAAACTAATACTACTTCTCCTAGTGAAGTTCTTAGCTAGCCCATAATAACAGAGAAAAACATAATTGGATCTGACAAGTCAATCAAAAAACCTCAAAACTATGAAGATGGCTATTTGAAAGAGATTTAGATCTCCTCTTGAAAAACCTTGCCTTAAGTATATATCATCCTTAAGATTGACAATGATAATAACACACAAATAATTTATAAGTAAATAAGCAAATATATTAGGAGAAGTGTTGATTGGGGCATGTGACCCAACTGTTTGGGGGTCTACTACACACTATCTGCTTCTCCATCAAACATTAAGTTCCTTTAGCCTTGGCATTGTTAAAAGAAGTTAACCCTAAGAATACAAACTTCATTTTAAAAATGTATAGTGGTACATTTAAAAAATATATAGTGGCTTATGACAATTAATAATTAACGTGTATAAAAATGATACACTTGTTCTTTACAATAATAGTCAACTGATCATTCAGGTATTTTAATCCCAAAGAAAAACCCATTCTAAATTAGAAGAACTAAAATTTACCATGCAAAGTATAAAATGACTTCATCTGTTTTGAAGTTAATCCATTTATTTACTATTTTAAAAGTTGCAACCTGTGCTTTTTTTTAAAGTTTGTCAAGACCTTAGCTTTTTAATTAAATACTTTCATTACTTAAACACGAGCTATTGCTAAACTGCCTACCACCAACTTAAAGTTGTTACAAGATCATAGTTCTGAAAATTAGTTAAATTGTATATGTTATCTATCTAGCCATGTATAGCTATAAATTAACATATATAAAAGTACACATATTCTCTCCCATATAAAATTATAAATTCAGCAATAGGTTGTACAGTAATGTTCTAATATAGCTAAATCAAGTCAGATGGTTAACAATAGCTAAAGGGTAAAGGAATATCAAGAAAATAATTCTACCATACTGGCAAAAACACAAGCTCTGATTAATATTGTTTTAATAGTAAGAAAGATAATATGCAATTACCTTGAATCTTCACAGATTCACAGTATAATACAGGCAGACTCAAAGGTCGGCCATGGATTTAAGTTCATGAGTATTTTACCCAAAGTCTTTTCTTTGAAATAAGGCAATATTCCAGGCACTATTTTCAGTGCTGAGGATATAACAATGAACAAAATAGACAAATATTCCTGCCCTCCTAAAACTGCAGTATGGGGTATAGACATTAAACAAATAAGTAAAAAATAAAGATATGTCAGACAATAAATACTATGGAGCAAAACAGAGCAGAGAATACAGAGCTCCTAAGGGTGTGCAGTTTAAAGTAGTGTGGTTAGGGAAGGCCTCACTGAGAAGGGATCATTTGAGCAAACACCTGTGAGGAGGGAGCCACGTGTAAACCTAGGGAAAG